ATTGTCCCGAAGGATTCCTCTTTGTTGGACGCCTCAATTGATTCTTTGTTCACTGCTATTTTGCCGAGGGCATTCCCTCAATCCCCCACATGTCGAGGGCTGAGGGTTCCCTGAAGGGAGTGCAAGTGTGTTGCTCGCATGTGTTGTGGCGAAGACTGCTTTATCATCCTTGGTACCTTTGTGAAGTTTTAACAGTTTTGTTTTTTTCCAAAGGATGTGCTAATAGCGTGTACCCGAAGGGTTTTGTTGTTGACGTTACCCGGAGGCTGCATTGGTACTTATATATATTTATTTTGTACATGTGAATTTTTTGCTTTGTGCTGTTCCCGAGGGGTTCTCCCAGTCCCCCACTCCTTTAGGCCGAAGGCAAGTTCGGGCTGAATGAGTTAAAAGTGATGTTTAGATCCGAGGGCATGTTCGGATGAGGGGTTGATAATGTATGGTAAGTCGAAGGCTTGTATTTCTTTTTGTACGAAGGCATGTGGAACCCGAAGGGATTAGCATATGATGGCCGAAGGGCGCCCCTGAGGGCACACTGTGTCCTTAGAAAATATAACCGTTGGGATGTGACCGTTGGAGAGGGGGTCCACGTGGCATGCGTCTGTTGGCCGAAGGTGGGCGGGTGCCCCCCATTGGCTGAGGCGGCGGCCCGTAATGATGCGCTTTTAACCGGAGGCCCAGTTTCGAGGCTTAACCGCGATTAGGGGTCCTATAAATACCCCAAGGCCGGATTCATTTGGCATGTGCGTTTTGTTGCTGAAGCGAAGCTCTGCCAAAATTTCTAGAGAGAGAGAGACAATTCACTTCGATCAAACCCGATTTCCTGAGGTCAGTTCTTCCCCCTTTCTTGAGTTCCTTAACACTTTTTGCTTTGCTGCCTTTGATTTAGCGTTTAGAGCCTTAGAACCCTTAGAAACTTCTTTCCCTCCAGCACTTGTTGATAATATGTCTTCTGGGAGCGATTCATAGGACATATCGAAGGAGGCATCGGTGGCGTCTGAAAGCTATTTCGAAGTGGAGTCATCAAGTGAGCAGCCTTCGGCCCACAATGATCTTGTTGTAGCTGAGGAGGTACAGAACAATCTTCGGTTTGAAGCGGAGGCAGAAGAATTTGAGCAAGTGGCCGAGGATGAAGAGCTTGCCCTGGCTGTTCAAGTGGCTGAGGAGGAGGAGGAGGAAAAGGAACGGCTGAAGGTCACCATTGTCGTGCCCCCCCCCCCCCGGCTGATTGTGGAGAAGGAAGCTCCAGGCCTATGAACCCATAACCTCTCAGGGTGGCCCCGGGGAAAAAGAAGAAGAAACTGAGGGCTGCACCAAAGAAGAAACAAGCCGATGTGGACGCTGGACAGCCGGTGGGGATCCCCGAGAGGCACTCTTATCTGGACACTGCTGCCCTCGAGGTGCACACAAAGGCGGGGGAGGCAGAGTATCTTAAGACCCAGCTTCTGGCCGGGCCGGCGGCACAAGTGATAGAGCCGAATCCTGATGATGTATTGTTGCGCGCTCCCGAGGGGTGTTTCGTGGTCCACATCCTCTCGGTGGAGTTGGGCCTCAGGTTCCCACTCCACCCCTTCGTGCTGGAGTATCTAAGGTTCGTCAGGCTGACCCCCTTTCAGATGACACCGAACAACCACTCCTACCTGGCTGGCTTCCTTTCCTTATGTCGGAGCCGGGGGTGGAGCCCTCACTGGACCAGTTTTTCCTTTCTTTCAACTTGTGCCGAGGAGGTCACTCGCATGCCGGAGGCTTCGCCAACCTTCAGCAAGTACCCGAGTGGAGACTCTTCTCTGAGGTTCCTTCATCCCACAAAGGATGGAAGGACAGATTCTGTTACATCCGCATGGCGGATAACCCTTTCCCGACTGCCCTTAGGAATAATTTCCGAAGGCATCCAAAAGTTGGGAATGCGGCCCTTGCGAAGAATGGGGGCAAACTAACAGCAAAGCCGGAGGGATCCGATAAGGTGATGACGATCAAGGATGCCACCCTCCCAAACGAACTATATCTTCTTGGCTTCCGGCGATATCGCTTGGCGGGGGAGCAGGACGAGAGATATCCCCTGATGGACCGGGTCTATCAAAGTGCCGGAGGTGCTAATCGAGGGCTTTTCATTTTGTACTTAGGTTTTCTTTCTGCTTACTTGCCTTGGTTATAATGTTTGTCTGTCTTGCAGGACCTGCCATGGATCTGAGGGCCTATGCAAATCTGAAGAAGAAATTAGCTAAGGAGCCAAAGAAGAAAGAGGCGGGGACACAGAAACCCGTCGATGAATTCTTCCGAAAGGAAGAGGCTACTCAAATCCCGGGGGGAGAGGGGCCCTCGGGGAATGCCACTGCCGATGCCGGCGATACCGGCGGGAAGAGGAAGGTGGCGAGGAAGAGCACGACTACTGTCGAGAAGAAGCAGAAGAGGGGAGATGCAGGACAAAGAGCTGCTCCCCTGATAATTGATGAGGGGAACTCTTCTTCAGAGCCCCCGGTCGTGACAGTGACGACCTCGCCTGATTCTCCTTCGGCACACGTAGGTGAGGGTGCTTGGCCCCAGGAGGATGTGCTGTTCTCCATAAAAAAAGGGGACCGCCAAAATGCACGAGACCCTCGACCCGAAGGAGTTCTTGAGGGGGGCTACCTCTCCGTTGGACAAGTTGGCGTTGGCCAGGTATGAGGACGCTGCCCTTGACTCCAAACTTCTCCAGGCTTCGGTCACGGTAAGCTTTATCATTTCCTTTCCCTTAGTCAATTGTCCTTAGCCTTTCCATTGTATAGTAATCTGATCCTTTATGCCTTTTGTACGTTTGTAGGCTAGCGTGGCCCTCGGGGAGCATATCCGAAAGGCGGAGCAATTGCGCCTCTAGAAGGCGGAATCTGATGAGACCCTGAAGAAACTCGTCACTCAGAATGCCACCTATGCCAGAAAGATGGCGGAGCTGGAGGAGACCCTTCGTCTAGCTACGGAGGGGATGGAGCAGAGGCTGAAGGATGCCGAGGCTAAGGGGAAGGCCACTGCTGAGAAGGCTGCCGCCCAGGAAGCCACGAGGGTTGCCACCGAGGCTGATGTCGCCAAGAATGAAGCGGTCAACCAGGCCGAGAAGGACGCGTTTGTTGCCTTTACCGCCTGGGGGTGGGAGGCTGATGAGTGGAGGCAATGGCTGGCTTCAGTCATTGAGCGAAAGGTGGATCCCTGGGTCGAAGGCCCCGATGCTACATGGTTAGCCCGGAAGGGCAAGAACTATTATGATGGGGGCGAATTTTTCACCCAAGCCCTCGTATACCGGAGGCTGGCCCGCCATTATGAGGTGGATCCAAAGGACTTCGACCTAGCAGCCTACGACCTCCCCTCTCTGCAGCCTGATGTCCAGAGAAGATGCCACCTCCAAGCCGAAGGAGAACGTTGTTGAAGATGTCCAAACTTAGGAATTTTCCTAAGTATAATTTTGTAATAGCCTGTAGGTCTCGGCTTCGGCCATGCTTGTAATCTAAACATCTTTTGTACTTGAATATTTTCTTTGAATGAATGTTTGTTGACTTGTTGATGCCTCTGGGCTTTGCTTTTTTGTCATCCTCTTGTACGTCCTTGTTTTTTTGTGATCCTTGTGCATGAATGTATGTTTTGTTTCCTTTCAGATGTCTGTTTCGAAGGCCAAAAACTTGTGGACTTAGAAAATTTTCTAAGTAAAGGAAACCCACAACGGGAGGCCCTCGGACAAGCCGTACCTTCCGGGACCTTCATTTTCTTGGACTTAGAAAATTTTCCAAGGAATACAACCACGAGCCCCCGGTCATATAGTAGAATTACCGGGGGCTGCGTGACTGTGGACTTGGATTTTTTCCCAAAGAAAAATAGTTGTCATGCCTTCGGCATGCAGAGCCAGCTGAATGATGTAGTGATTCGCATAGTTGAGGGGTCCAACTTTGTGGACCTAGTAAAATCTTGAGATTGTTTTCAATAGATCTTGTGATTAGCCCCCGGCTAAGTGAGGTAGAAGAGCCTCCTGCTGTAGGGGACTTAGCGAAAATTTTTCTTAGGCAAAATAGTGGTTATGCCTTCGGGATCCATGGACTTAGAAACCTTCCACCTTACCAAAACTTGTGGGCAGCTTTGCCTAGGACCTCATGCAGTTGAAGATAACGCCGATGGGTGTCCCATAGTAAATTTAGGAGAGTGCCATGAATTTGCCCTTAGTATTTAGTAGTCCGCACGATGATAGCCTTCGGTAGGAGGCCAGTTTTGCCCTTAGTGAAAGTTGTGGAGGCATTGCACTTTACTGATGGGTACCAAACTTTAAGGTTTAGGAGAATTTGACCTTTGTAGTGTGTAGAATGATTGCCCTGGGTAAGAGGTTAGTTCGAAATACTGAGGCCGAAGGATGTACCTCCGGAGGGTATCAGTTTGTGGACTTAGCCAACTTTTCCACATTATGGTTTATTTGCCTTTGAAGTGCCTTCGGAAGATGGCCCCTTGTATTTGTCTTCTGCCTTAGCCATCGGCTTTGGCCAAACTTCAGACTTAGCCAAAATTTGGTGAAGTAACGCCCCTCAATAAAGAGTGTGGTGAGTAAAGGTTCACCACTGAGGGCTTCATGTTTGGATAAGTGCACCCTCAGCTTCAGGTAGTGAAGCCTTCGGCCGAGTAACCGGATAGTCTTGGACTTGGAAAATTTCTTTGTAGTCTTCGAGAAAGCCTTCGGGAGTGCATCTCTTAGGTGATGCTTTTGTTGTAGAGTCTCCGGGAGGATGGCATCCAAGGAGTCCCTTCTCCCCTACACATTTTTTTTAAATGTTGTAGGAGAGGCATCAAGAAACTTGGCTTCTTGGAAAGGCTTGGCCTATATGGGAGGCAACGGAATAAACCGTTGCCCCCCGGGGGGGATTGACCTTCTGAGATCACGAGGGGTTTGAGGGTCATTTCCTCGGCCCGAGACATCGTCTGTTGCCTGCCTCCCCTTGGGGGATGGCGCAGAAAGAGCCTCGGTTTTGAAAGTCGTCCCCTCGGCCCGAGACATGGTCTGTTGCCTGCTTCCCCTTGGGGGATAGCACGGGGAGCGTTTTGTTTTTGAAAGTCGAATCATGGGCCCGGGACATGGTCCATTTCCTTCCTCCCCCTAGGGGATGGCGCGGAAAGCGTTTCAGGGAAGGGTTTTATTTGTGTGTGATGCACAAATGGCCGGGGGTACTTGGTACCTGCCGGAGCCAAGGGGTATTGTACCCCCCGTTTTTTTGTGTATGCATGAGTGTGCATGAAATAATGCATGTATGGGGGCGTCCTCGAGGGGAACGACTTGCTTAAAAACACTTAATGTTTGTAAGAGTTGGGGGCGTATTTCGCGCACCTTGTACTTGGTACTTTTGAAGAATGATGTTATATATGTCATTCTCCCTCATAAGAGAAAGGGGTCTTAGGCCGTTGATCACCCATATTGGTGGATGATGAGGGCTTGGCCGCTCATATGCATTTCGCACTTGGTACTTTGTGTCTGAATCACATTTATTATTCTGAAGGGGCCTTGGGCCGTTGATGAAATACATAGGTGATGAGGGCTTGGCCGCCCATATATCATTGATAGAATTTGACTAAGTGATGTATGTTCCAATGCCTAGGGACCTCGGTCCCATTGGAGCGTTTTAGCTTGTATGTTCCTGGTTTGATGATGGATGTGACGATGTATGAGCCTTCAAATTTGGGTGCCATTTTACCGCCTTCGGTGGGTTGGCTGGCTTCCCTCCTTCGGAGGACATAGTCCCCCACTTGAATTTCTCGGGAGCGGACCTTGGCGTCGATGTAGCCCTTGATTTGTCGTCGGTAGTTTTCAGCTCTGATGAAGGTTTGCTCTCGGCGCTCCGAGATGAGATGAAGGTCGAGGGCCATGTTGGCATTGTTGACCTCAGGGTCGTATTGATCCACCCTTCGGGTAGGTAGAGTTACTTCAGTAGGAGTCTTGGCTTCAAATCCATAACATAGGGAGAAGGGTGTTTCACATGTCGCCTGCCGAGGGGTGGTGCGGTAGGCCCATAGAATGTTGTGAAGTTCTTCTACCCAGCCTCCCCTTTGGCCTCAAATTTCTTTTTTAGGCCCTCAAGCAATGTCCGGTTGGCGTTCTCCACTTGACCATTGCCCTGGGGGTAGGCAACCGGAGAGAATGTGTGTTTAATGCCCCATGCCTCTAGGAGGGCACATAAGGGGGTTGCCTCAAACTGAGTTCCGTTTGTCGGAGATGATTTGTTGGGGGACGCCAAACCATGTGAGGATGTTCTTGAGGACAAAGTGGCGGCACCTGGCCTTGGTGATGCTAGCGAGGGGCTCAGCTTCCGCCCATTTGGTGAAATAGTCAATGGCCATGAAGATGTACCTGTTGTTGGAAGTACCCCTCAGCAGAGGGCCCACTAGGTAAATGCCACATCGGGAGAAGGGTATAGTCGTGTTGATGGGGGCATAGTTGACCGCTAGTCTCCCAGGGGCCTTATGGGAAGTGTTGGCAGTCAGTGCACCTTCGAGCAAGGTTGGCACAATCGCGGGCCATTGTAGGCCAGAAGTAACCCTGGACTATGAGCCTTCAGGACATGGAGAAGGGTCCCTGGTGAGCTGAGCAAGTGCCACTGTGCACTTCCTCCATTGCGACTTCAGCCTCATCTTGATGAAGGCACCGAAGTAAAGTGCCATTGTAAGATCGTTTGTAGAGCCTTCCGTTCTCAATTGTGTAGCTGGGAGCCCTCAACTTTGTTAGTTTTGCACGGGCTTCATCCTCGGGTAGTTGCCTTGTGGTGATGAAGGTGACGATGTCGGAGATCCAATCCTCTGGCCTTAGGTGTATGTCCATGACGGGGATTGCATGTATGCTTGAGAGGCTGAGCTCCTCGATCCTCACAATCTTTGAGAGGTGCTCAGGGGATTCAGCCGATAGTTTTGATAAAATGTGAGCTTCAGAGTTTTGAGCTCTCGGTATTTGAGTGAGGGAGTGTGCCTCAAATACCTTGAGCAACCCCTTGGCCGCTTCCTTATACTGTTTCATCCTCCCTTCCTTCGCTTCATACTCTCTGAAGATTTGACCGATGACTAGTTTGGAGTCGCACTTGACATGAATCTGTCCGGCCTTCAGGTTTACTGCCAGCCGAAGGCCACAGAGGAGGGCCTCATACTCAGCTTTGTTGTTGGAGACCTTGAAGGAGAAACGGATGGCATAATAGGCCCGGAAACCTTCGAGTGTGATGAGGACCAACCCTCCTCCCCATGCTTTGATAGCGGAGGAGTCGTCGATGTAGATAGTCCACCACTCGTCAAGTGGCGCCGGGGGCTCCTCGTCCACCGCTGATCTCACTGTACACTCTGTCACGAAGTCCACCAGGGCTTGGCCCTTGATGGCAGGCCTCGGACGGATGCCAATGTTGTATTGGCTGAGGAAGATGGCCCATTTTACCATCCTTGAGGAACTGGTGGGGCTCCTCATGAGGATGCCAAAGGGTTGGTGTGTGAGCACTTGGACCGGATGGGCTTGGAAGTAATGGCCCAACTTCTTGATGGTCCAAACGATGGTTAGCACCGTTTTCTCCACAGGGGAATATCTGAGTTCTGCTTCCCTGAAGGTCTTGCTGACATAGAAGATGGCATGTTGGATGCCGTCTTCCTCCCGGATTAACACGGAGCTGATGGCAGCAGGGCTAACACCAAGGTAAAGATATAAGGTCTCTCCCACCTTGGGTTTGGAGAGCACATGGGGTGAAGATAAGTACCGTTCCAATTCGTCGAAGGCCTCCTGACATTCTGATGTCCATTGGAAGCCGACTGTCTTCCTCATGATTTGGAAGAAGGGGAGGGCTTTCTCCGCTGATTTAGAAAGGAAGCGGTTGAGGGCTGCCAAGCGACCCGTCAACCTTTGAACCTCTTTCACGTTGTGTGGGGTCTCCATGTTGATGATGGCCTGGATTTTCTCGGGGTTGGCTTCAATACCCCTTCGGCTAACCATGTAGCCAAGAAACTTCCCTCCTTGTACGCCGAAGGTGCACTTTTTAGGGTTCAACCGAAGATTGAACTTTTGCATGATGGCGAATATCTCCCGGAGGTCCTCGACATGAGTCGTCGATTGCTTGGTTTTGACGATCATGTCGTCAACATATGTCTCCATGGTGTGCCCTAGGACGGCCTGAAAGACTCTGACCACCATGCGGGTGTAGGTGGCGCCGTAGTTCTTTAGGCCGAAGGCCATTACCAAATAACAGAAGATTCCTTCGGGCGTCATGAAGGCTGTCTTTTCCGCATCCCCCCTCATGAATGTAGATCTAGTGATATCCTCGGAATGCGTCGAGAAAGGACATGATCTCGCATCCCGCTGTCTCGTCCACCAGTTGATCAATGTTTGGTAGAGGGAAAGGATCCATAGGACATGCCTTATTCAAATCCGTGTAGTCAACACACATACGGAAGGTGGGTGGCTTCTGCGCAAGGACCACATTAGCCAACCATGAAGGGTATTTCACCTTCCGGATGTGTTTGATGGAGAGGAGCATGACAACTTCTTTCTTTACGAAGTCCCTCCTTTCGGCCGAGAGGAGCCTCCTTCTTTGTTGTACTGGCTTGGACGAAGGGTCCACCGTCAGGCGGTGAGTGATGACCCTTTAGTGGATCCCCGGCATATCCTCTGGCCCCCATGTAAAAACAATGGGGTAGGCGCGGAGGGCTTCAGTAATACCGGTCTTCAGGTCTTCGGGGAGCTTGGCTCCAATCTTCAAGACTCTCTCCGGCTTGGCCGGATCAGGTACAAAGTCTTCGGTCTCCTCGGCAGGCTCAGCCCCCGGCTTGCCTTCTTCCTCTTCCAAGGCTGTAGTGATAGTATCAATGCGGAGTTCAGTTTTTTACTAACCTTCTTGGTGAGTTGAAGGTAGCAAGCCCGGGAGAGCTTCTGATTCCCCCTCGAGTAGCCGATGCCATTGGGTGTGGGGAACTTGAGGCAAATGTGCCTCATGGAGATGATGGCCTCTAGGTCCTCGAGGGCAGGCCGACCGAGGATGATATTGTGTGCGCAGTCAAGGTTAACGACGGCGAATTCCACTTCGAGCTTGGCCCTGTGGAACCCATCGTCGAATTCAACCATCAAAGAAATGACGCCCTCGACGTCAATGCTATCCCCTGTGAATCCAGAGAGGGGTGTCTTAATCCGCCGAAGGGATCCCATATCGAGCCCAAGTTCTTGAAAAGTGCTGAGATACATAACGTTGACAGAGCTACTAGTGTCAAGATACGTGCGGAGGATGACGGTGTCGTTGATTTCCATTCAAATGACGAGGGTGTCCCTATGTGGCAAGGAACCCCGGGGCAAATCCGCATCTGTGAAGAAGATAGGGCCTGTCCTCGCCTTCTTAGTTGGGGGCATATGATTGACCTCCCCAACGGAAAGGGATTGAGCCCACTTCTTCCTTTGGCCCGTGGAGTCACCCCTAGTGTTGCCTCCAGTGATCATGTGGATGTGGCGCTTGTACCGGTGCTGTGAATCCTCCTCCTCACTGAGGTTCCCAATCTCACGCTTCTTCCCCTGTGGATTTCCCAAGGGGATGGTGTTTGGGTTAACCCACTTGTTTGCCTTCGGCGGAGGCCCTTGGTGATGAGGGGGTCCCTGAGGAGGGGCCCCCCTGACGAATTGGGACAAATGGCCCGCCTGTATTAATCTCTCGATGGCTACCTTCAGATGATGGCAGTCATCAGTCATGTGTCCCTGATGGCGATGAAAGCGACAATAAGGTTCGTTGGGATTGATGGCATATACCTCTAGGGATGTGCGTGAATCTCGCTACACGAGGCCTCTTTCCTCCGCATAGTCCAAGATAACGCTGATGGGATGCGTCAGAGGGGTGCGTGGGTGCTCCAGGAGGGTAGGTTGTGCCCACGCCCTCAGATTATTCTTGTAGCCGCCCCCGGTTCTGGCTTGGCCATTCCGGGGTTGGTCGTTGTACTGTGATTTGCGGTTTGCCGGAGGGGATGGTCCCCTGGGGCGATTTCTGCCTTTGTGCTTTTGTGAAGGCTCTGGATTACGGCAA